AAACACCTGCAATCATAAGTAATAATTCATTCATTTGCGCACTTATTTCATAAAACCTTTAAACTCAATCTAAAATAAATACTAACCTTATCGACCTCCCACCATGCAGGATAAAGTTTAGCTTGTCCATTGCCCAAATCAAATGATTCATCTCGTGCATTCTTCAAGTGAACGGCGTGAAAAGACGTCGGCATAATTGTATATCGTATATTTTTATTTTTCTTAAGTTTTCTTATTATTAGAAGACGTGTCACCCACGCATCGATATGCTGTTTTACAAAAAAAGACATATATTAGTGACTTACATAAATTTAAAAAAAAAATTAATCAAATTGAAATATAAGAAAAATATAAGACTTACCCCCCCCATCGAAATAGCCATTGTCTTCGACCCCTAATAATACGCCCCACCAAGACCGATCAAGCAACAAATAGATATCATCGGTGAGCTTGCATATGTCAGTGAAACACCCCTGGCTCTGCTCATGTAGATAAAAATCAACAGCGGTCTTAGCCCAAAGGGTGTTATCCAGAATTGTGTCCGGTAGTTGTTCCCTCTCCTCTTCAGATACCGGTATGGTACTGGCCGGTAACTCATACGAGAGCCAACTTGAATCCATCATGTCCGGCACGTCAGAGGGTTTCTCAAGAAGCCTACATATGACGCCATGTGAATCGGGCTCTTGAATGGTGGGAGGGACCTCTTCAATGATGACAGTGGCCTCTTGAACGGTGGGAGGGGACTCTCGAGGAATGATAGGGGGGGCCTCTTCAACGATAGGAGTGGACTCTTGAGGGATGACAGGCGAGTCGGGCTTCTTCTTGCGGTGTCTTCGCACTATTGGGGTGTACGGAGACTTAATAGCACGTGCACGCTGTCTGATGCGTGAACTCCGTCGTGCAAGCATAACCCGACGTAAAGCATCCACTCTATCGGGCCGCTAAATAATTAAATACAAAAATCAGTAAATAAACAGACATGATATTTAAACAGTGAAAACAAAGACAAATATGTTTCAAACTTGCATTGTATTAACCCAAGTCATTATTCTATCATAGTTCACAAAATGCATCAGATAACAAAGAAAAATATGTTTCAAACTAATACCCTGAAGTTAGTATTTGTCTTTGTTTTGTCTATTGGTTGAAGTAATGCAATCCATTCAAGTTTCAATTTGCAGAAGAATAAATAGTTTACTTTCGCAACACGAAACTTAAAATCGCAACGCGAAACCAAAATCGCAACGCGAAATGAAAATCGCAACGACAGAATCGCAATGCGAAATGAAAATCGCAACGAAAGAATCGCAACGCGAAATGAAAATCGCAATGCGATTTTGGTTTCGCGTTGTGATCTTGTCGTTGCGATTTTGGTTTCGCGTTGCGATTCTGTCGTTGCGATTTTTATTTCGCGTTGCGATTTTGGTTTCGCGTTGCGATTTTAAGTTTCGTGTTGCGAAAGTAAACTATTTCTTCTTCTGCAAATTGAAACTTGAATGGATTGCATTACTTCAACCAAAAGACAAAACAAAGACAAATACTATTTCACAGTGTTAAAGAATACACAGTTTAGCAGAATTGGCAGCAACCGAACAAATTTACTTTCAACCAAAAGACAAAACAAAGACAAATACTATTTCACAGTGTTAAAGAATACACAGTTTAGCAGAATTGGCAGCAACCGAACAAATTTACTTTCAACCAAAAGACAAAACAAAGACAAATACTATTTCACAGTGTTAAAGAATACACAGTTTAGCAGAATTGGCAGCAACCGAACAAATTTACTTTCAACCAAAAGACAAAACAAAGACAAATACTATTTCACAGTGTTAAAGAATACACAGTTTAGCAGAATTGGCAGCAACCGAACAAATTTACTTTCAACCAAAAGACAAAACAAAGACAAATACTATTTCACAGTGTTAAAGAATACACAGTTTAGCAGAATTGGCAGCAACCAAACAAATTTACTAAGCAATCTAAGTGAAATGGCTAATCTAAGTGAAATTACGAGTAAATTTATCATTAAGTTAAATATGGAAAATCTTAAACTTACCTCGTTGCGTAGAGTATGAACCTCATTCTGCAACGATACTATCATCTCACGTAGAGCGGCAACCTCACCACGTAAAGTTGACACCTCCACACGCCATGCACCATCGTTATCGCGTAGAGTACCGATCTCCTCACGCAAGGCATTGACCTCATCACGTAACTCCCTTGACTCATCCCGTTGAGGTGGAGGTGGAGAACAGGGAGATAGGAGTCGTGGCATCTTTGCCGGTCGCCTATCATGAGGTGATGGTGGAGAAGAGGCTCGATGATGTGACGGGATAGGTGATGGCTCTCGTTCTAGAGGTGTATAGTCGGGTCGATCGGGTGATGGCTCTAGGTGAGGTGATGGCTCTCGAATTGGAGGAAGTGGATGCTGCTCATCATCCGTGCCATCAAAAAAACTCTGACTAGCTTGCCACCAATCAGTGGCAAGCTCTTCCTCCGTGGGTGTCAGTCTTTGTAATGGAATGTTGGCCTCCTAAAATATAAAAACTCAAACAAAGTTAAACGTCTACTATTAATAACTTGTTTATATATTATATAAAAGTATTTGTGTTAACTTACATTATTTATTGTCGCATATGGTATTAAGTCTTCCCAATCCAACAGAGTTTTCCTCTTCCAGGAAATAGCCCTGGGAATATCATTTGACGTTTTTATTGCATATGTACGCATGCTGGGGAAAGCCTCGAATATCCAAATCTACAAACAATATAATAACAAAATTAGTAATTGTTAAATAATTAATTATAATTTTAGAAACATTATATAGAAATTCTTACCTTAAAGGCCCAAACAAAGCCTGACAAAGTGTATTTGGACCCATCGCCCCGCAAACTTTTGTGGTCATCAAAGGCAGACGACAACTTAGTCCAGGTAGCTTTCCATATATACGAACCCCACGGAAACAGATTCCATGCATTCAGGTCCTCTACCAATATTATTAGCTCCCGATGAATAGGTTGTCTGGCCTTTCTGCCTAAAAAGCCGGCATACACAAGTAGTAGAAGGCATACTCGGACAACATCGACGTCATCAATCCGAGTGAAACCAGCTTTCTTATTAAACAATTTCTTCAGGTCGTCGACATGTAGGTTCGGCTTCTCCATTGACTCATCCGGAAAAACCCGGGATAACCATGATGGGCGGGCGATATGACGAGTGTACCGGCCTACATCATCGTGTTCGAATCGTAGACCAGTGATTAAGCAGAACTCCTTCCGCCCAAAACAAGTATACGCTGGTGGAAAATGAAACCATATCTCTTCCTCACCACGTTGTATACTGTCGGTAGATTTGATGTCATGGTCTGAAGCCACAAATGGGTCAAATTAGCATCTCCACCCGGATGCTGTACTCTCAGCCATGGCCCGAAGCAGGTTTCCTCAAACAATTGTCTTTGAGCAGGTGAAAGCTTCGAAGCAATTGTAGTGGCCAGGCTGACTTTATTTCTCAAGGTCAATTGAGCCGAAAAAAATTTCTACAAAAACAATAAACATACCAAGTTAGATATACCAAAAACTACACTGTGAAGATATACCAAAAACAATAAACATAAAAAGTAGTAGTTTATTCTTGAAACTAAAATTTGCAACACTGTTTTGTCTTTTGGTTGAAATGAAAATCGCAACGAGAGAATCGCAACGCGAAATGACAATCGCAACGAGAGAATCGCAACGCGAAATGAAAATCGCAACGAGAGAATCGCAACGCGAAATGAAAATCGCAATGCGATTTTGGTTTCGCGTTGCGATTCTCTCGTTGCGATTTTCATATCGCGTTGCGATTCTCTCGTTGCGATTTTCATTTCTCTCGTTGCGACAGTCATTCTCTCGTTACGATTTTCATTTATCTCGTTGCGACTCTTCTGCAAATTGAAACTTGAATGGATTGCATTACTTCAACCAAAAGACAGAACAAAGACAAAGACAAATACTAACTTGAAAATCGCAACGAGAGAATAGCAACGCGAAATGAAAATCGCAACGACAGAATCGTAACGCGAAATGAAATCTAAGTGAAATGGTTAATCTATTATTGAAATGACCAGTAAACTTATCATCAGTTTCAATATGAAAAACCTACAATAATGCAAACATTTCAAAATAAAAATAATTAAAAAAACTAACCCTCGGAGGTTGATTTTCCATTTCTGAATATTGTGAGGGATTTCTGACCGTGAATGGTTGTGAGGGATTTCGCCGGAGATGGGGACGGAAATCTTCGGAGATGGGGACAGATTTCTTCGCCGTAGAGAGTGAGAGATGGAGATGGGACTGAGTTGTGATTTTAGGTTTTAGGTTATGAGTTGCGATTACGGGATTTTGTCTTAATATTCGTTTTTGTAATTTGAAAATAAAATACGCGTAGCGATTATAATGGCGCTTTAAATATCGCGTTGCGATTTACGGATACGCGTTGCGATTTTATGTATTATCGTTGCGATTTACGGATACGCGTTGCGATATACGGATACGCATTGCGATTTACCCATACGCGTTGCGATTTACGGATACACGTTGCGATTTACGGATACGAGTTGCGATTTATGTGTTCGCGTTGCGATTTTCATATTCGCGTTGCGATTTTGGAAAATCGCAATGCGAATTTGTACTATCGCATTGCGATTTTCAAGAATCGCGTTGCGATTTTGGAAACTGATTTGCGATTCTGGGGATCGCGTTGCGATTTTTATTTCGCGTTGCGATTTTGTTGGTCATTTTGGCAAATCCAAAAAAAATTGATTAAAATCGTATATTATAACTTTTTTTTGGTCACTAAGGCGATTTTCTCTCTATATAAATGGTTTGTAACAAAATAAAGGTGATTATAGCACTTAAAATATATAAATAGCCTATTTGTGCATTGCCTGTGTCTCCCTCCCAATATTATTAAAGAATCCATTTTGCGGCCGGAAAGAGAGAGGTTTAGATAAAGTTGTAGGATTTTGGAGAATCCTGGGAGAGAAGAGAGATGGTAACATCACCGGTGGTCAACACGTATCCACTCTCCAGCTACACATTTGGCACCAAAGAGCCCTAGATGGAGGACACCTCCGTCGCCGATCGCCTTGCTCGCATGAAAGTCAAGTAATTTTATCACCTCCTCCTTATTTCAATTACTTATTTTGTAGGATTTTTTAAAACCCGAAACGAACCTCCGATTACCCTTTCGGTTCCCCCCTATTGCCAAGCTAAAGTTTGTTGTTTTGATCTCAAAGGTTTGATCAAAAGGAGATTCATTTGGAACTGTGGAATTTATAAATCAAAGCGAAATTACTGATAAATATCCCCCTTTTTATCCATTTCCAAGACCCCAAAGCATTTTTCAGGGGAAAAAAGACCCCAAAGCAAAACTCAATAAGGCAAATCCTGGCTGTAAACTAAAAGTTCCCATTGAAGGAATAATTATGAATGTATATTGTGAACACTGGCATGTTGAAACTGTATTCTAGCTCAAATTTGTAATTACTTATTTTTCTATTGCGAGTTGCTGTTATATGAAAGAGGGTATGAGGACAAGCGTTGAAGTGATTTTACTGGTTTGTTAATATGCTTCTGATTTGCTATCATGTCATTGAAATACTCTGTTAGATTTTACATTGTAATGTTTATGATTCGTTATATTTTATGAAAATTTATGGTAATATTTTCACTCCTAGATTTCTCCATACATTGGTTTGTAGTCATGTTTCATTGCTTTTATTATGAATTATTGATATGATGCTCCTCTGTTGCCTGTTTTATGTATATTTGTCCGGTTGTATTTATCTTTTTCATAACATTATCCATCTTTATTATGGGATGATAATGCATTTTGCTGGGGACTTGGTGCTTTTATCATTCTTCTGATAGAAAATCGGAAACCCTTTAAATTTTTAAGTTACAAGCGAGTTCGTAACTTTTAACATTATGACCTCTAGGAGTTTGGAACTACTATACTTGTAGATGTAAACTTCTAAAGGTTTACTTGTTCAATATTTGGTTAAATGATAAATTGAGGAAGATTAAGGTCATTCAAATGTGTTGTAAGGCCTCTAGTTCTTACTATTCAATTTTAGGTTACTTTTTTCATTTGTAAGGCTGTGTATTAGTCCTTTAGCAAAGAAGAAAAATGCTTGTTCTTGTATATTAACTTTTTGTTTTTACTAATTCCGCTCCAGTATCAGAGCTTGGTTCATGCTTAAGCATCAGTCGTCAATATATAAGCCCTATAGCTCAATTTTTTATTTATTTTTATCATAGAATCGGAGGTTTTTGTATCACAGAGGTTTATATCTTGTGTAAGTGTTTATGTTTGAACACTAGTCGACCTGGCAGAAACTGACAACTATGTTTTACATATGTAAAGGGGAGATTATGCTCCAAGAAAAGAGGAATTGTATCCTAATACATGATGGATTCCTTCTTAGAGGCATAAAACTTTTAAATGATTTTTATTAGACTGTGAGAATTTCTTAAAGAATGAGCGTTCTTTTTTCCATTATGAGTTTATGTTGTACTTTTGCTACTTTCTCCTTTACCTGTAACCTATGGATAAGTATTATTATTCTTCATTTACAGCAATTAGGATTTCAAGATGACCATTTTGATGCTTGTTTTTCAATTGCTTATTCTATTTTCCCATGCAGGTCCAAGAACATAATCATCCGCATATTCTTCTTCTGCAAATTGGGAATACATTCTGCAAGCTTCCTGGTGGACGCCTGAAGCCTAGAGAAAATGGTATCATCTTATTCTTTACTTTTTTCCTCATACATCATACTGTCATCTTCTCTTGATACATCCTTTTTTATGTGCTTTTGTGGAAACTCTATGTTGGTCGTAACGCCTACGCTCTTTCCTTTTTTGACTTAAAGAGATCGAGGGTTTGAAGAGGAAGCTGACCAGCAAGCTTGGAGCTAGTTCACCCGCTCTTGTACCGGACTGGCAGGTATAGATTTGTAAAAACTATGTCACTAGGGTGAGGAGGAGAGGTTTATCTCACACTTTGCCTTCGAACATTGCAGTGATAATTGATATAGTTTGGAAACAAATTCTTTTAATGCTGAACTCCTTCCTTGTTATTTGCTGTAGATCGGTGAGGCCGTGGCCATCTGGTGGAGGCCTAACTTTGAGACTATGATGTATCCTTATTGTCCTCCCCACATCACAAAACCCAAGGTATCCTGTACAGCTTCATGAGGCTACTTATGAGCTATGTCATCTTTTCTCAACTTACTTTAATATCAATGTTGCAGGAGTGCAAGAAGCTCTTCCTCGTTCACTTGTCCGAGAAAGAGTACTTTGCAGTACCGAATAATTTGAAGCTTCTTGCTGTCCCACTGTTTGAGCTCTATGATAATGTGCAGGTTAGGAGTATTACCACTTTTCAATCCATTTTTTTAACTTGATTTATAATTTGAGGATAACGACATTTTAAATGTTGAATAGAGATATGCCAGTCATATCAACCATTCCTCAGCAGCTTTCTAGATTCCAGTTCAACATGATCAGTACATGACTTTGGCATGGGTTGTCAATGATCCTGAATCTTTCTGCTCGTGTCCCGTACGTGACGGTATATAACGAGAGCCTTCTGCATCGCCTTTTTGACGGTATATGACGAGAGCCTTCTGCATTGCCTTTTTGTTTTGGTTCGACGAGACTATTACGTTTCTTATGTTTCATAAGTTGATTGACTCACCTACTTTAATTTGGTTATGACATAACTAATCAGTGTGGGTTGTAGTTAATGGTTTAACATGCGATTGGGGGTTTTACTGAGTTTTATGTGAATGGTTTTCATGTATAAGGGATTTAAATTGTGATTGCCGCTCCTTTTGGGTAGTGTTATGTTTATTGTTGTTGCGGATATGACGGATGTTATTGTAGATATTATGGTTATCACGTTCGTGAATTTTTTTTCTAAAGTAGTTGATTTTTTATATAAAAAAAGTTGATTTTTTTTTTCAAAATAAAATAGAAGAATAACAGTCCGTTATTGTCGCGATTGATCGTTATCTGTTAAATTGTAGCCACGATTCACCTCTACTGGTGTGATTCTGTTCCATAATGTTATTTTTCGTGATAGTGGTTTCGAATGCAGTCATGACAGCGATATATAGTGGCGGAACACAATGAAGGTTAGTGGAGGGCACGACCTCCTAAATATTTGAAAAATTATAATTTAAATCTTTAAATTTTTTCAATATTTAAGTATGTCCTCCCAAAAATTTCAGAAATTTATATTAATCTTTAATTTTTTTAATATTCTTAATTAAACCCCTCTCATAATTTTTAAAAAATCTTATTAAACCTCCCAAAATTTAAATAGTTAGATCCCAATCTTTTTGGAAAAATATAGATTTAATTCTTCAAAAAAGTTTATTTAAACCTTCAAATTTTTTAAAATTTTAAGTTGACCTCTCAAATTCTATCACCAAGTGACGGTCGCTATTTCACTACCCGACCACTATATGAATTCCTTTCTCATATTTAATATAATAGTTCTAAATAAAATAAAATATACAAATTATTCATCGGGAGATCTTTCGTATTTTTCGGATTGAAATTACATATTTGGTATTTTTGACTTGAATCTCGAGACTTTAGTACCTATTAACGAGACTTAAACCTAAAAGATGATGTTTTGAACAGTTTTATACATGTATGACCTCTAATTACTTTAGTTAACATATAGATTGAATACAATATTTTCTTTGAATAGTTTAAGGTGATTATTAAATAGTATTTTTTTAGAATTTCCTCAATTTTTTGATAATACGCATATAAATTATGGATGTGACTGTTAGAATTCGAAAATTTTAAAGAGAATGTCCATTTTACAAAATTATTCTTCCTTTGAACCAATTAAAAAAAAGAAAAAAAAATTGATGCAAACAAAAGAGGTTAATTTTATTAAACTAAATAAATATTTAAAATTATAGTGAAAGTTTACGATTATAAACTTCACGAGGTAGTTGTAATATTATTTATTTATTTATCTATCTATTTTCAATTTAAAATGTTTAAACTTACAACTAATCTGTCTTCATACCTCTAAAACCTTTTTGGGGACCGCTTTTTACTGCTTCTTCTCTTCCTTCTTTCCCTTAACCTCTGTTCTTCTGGCTCTCTTTGTTTCCTTGGATCATGGTTTGCAAGCCAAAAGCTAAGCAGAGGAAAAGGCTTCTGGTCACCTGAAGAAGACCTAAAGCTCAGAAACTATGTCCTTAAACATGGCCATGCTTGCTGGACCACTGTCCCCATTAATGCAGGTCACTTCGTTACTCTTCTTCACTCCTTGTTATGTAACTCCTCCATCTCTTGATGAACTTGTGAATTCACTTTTCCATGTTTGCAGAGGAATGGGAAGAGCTGCAGATTAAGGTGGATTAATTACCTGAGGCCAGGCTTAAAACGAGGGATGTTTACGCCATTAGAGGAGGACACAATCCTCACACTTCATCATTCCCTAGGCAACAAGTAAGAATGCATGAAGGCTAGTGCAGATATTTAAATTGCAGTTGCGGATGCGATTTCGGTAACGACGTATGTTTTTATTGATTCTAGGTGGTCTCAAATTGCACAATGTTTGCCTGGAAGAACTGAAAATGAGATCAAGAACTACTGGCATTCATATCTGAAGAAGAGAGTCACAAAGGTTGAAGAATTCGAAGTTCCTCATTCCTTCCATCACACAGAGAAATCATCAGTATGTACTTATCAAGCTATTCCACCGCATTTCGACATCGGTAAAGAGCCTCCGAGAACCTCACTGCCAAGGCTTTTATTTGCCGAGTGGCTATCGGAAAATAAGCCAGTGGCTACCTCGGGCGGATTTAATCATAGCTCGGATTCAATCATTGGTTCATATTCAGGAACATTTGGTGGTGATCTTCAAGATATACTGAGCAATGCATCAGTAAATGAAATGCTCTAACCCCAGGTTTCAGAACATGAATCTGTTGGTTCTCTACATGGGGATTACATATGCAATACTGATTTCAATATGAACAATGATGTAATGTACATATAAGAACATCTTTCCATGGCAAATTTCAAGCAAATTATACTTGTATCCAGCTATATTACTAAGGAAAATTTTAATATTTTGTAAACAAAATGTAGAGAAAATTATGCAGCAGCATTGGAATTTTGCCAAGTGGAAAGAGCAAAACTTTGCCTTGCCTTATCTTCAGCTTTGTTAGTAGTCATTAGGCCAAGGAGGCACTGTTAGCGGTACAATAATTTACCCACAAGTCATTAAAATCTGGTTCTTGAAGTAGTACAAGTATGAATATGATTGATCATCTATGGAACTTAGGCCAAGGACCTAGGGTTCATGATGGTTCAGTTTTTGGCATCATTTTTGCCTTTTTGGAGGAATGATTGGTTTGATTTATACGATCAAACTTAAATTAGGATATTTTTTAGTTTGAACTTACTCATTCTAATTATTGTTTATAAATAAATTATTTTTTATTTTAATTATACAAATATTAATATAAAAATATATTTTAAGGTTTTGAAACGTGTCATTGGAATGTATTTTGATAAATAAAAAAATTGTAATCCTCTGTTTGGATTCAAGTAGGTAAGGAAAAGAAGGTATATGATATTGGGCTTTTTTATTTGGATATCTATAATGAATTTCATAAGTTTTTGAACTTTTATATATTTCGGCTAAATATAATCTCTTGACATGATTTGATAGAGTCAAATTTAATATCTAAAAGTCGTATTTATTTATCATGTCAATCTATAAATTATTATAAATCATTATAAGTCTAGGTATGATATCATCAAGAGTTCATATATAAATCATCATGCAAGCTGAAGAAGGAGACTATCTTTCGATCTCTCTCACCGGTTTTTACTTCGTTTTACATGGTGGATGATGCGAGGTTGGCCCCGACGAGAAGTCGACCTCCGATTGGGATTGTTCCCTTCTTTAACTTTAAGCATAAGTAGGGAAGGAAACAATTGTGTATTTCAACCAAGACGACATCTATTTCTGCAGTGCAGGGGATGATGAAGAAACTATCTATTTCTGCAGTGCAGGGGATGATGAAGAAACTTACTGCTATAAGCCTAAGAGACTATAATATACAGACTTCTCTCATTCTTTTACATGCAAGTACATAAAAGCTAAAACCATACAAAGAAAAGAAAAGAAGAGGCTGTATTGCAAGTATAAAACATAAATAATGTACTTCAATCTATAATCTTCACGAGTCGACATTATTACATCAAACTTGTTTGTTACAAATTCAATAAGTGATTTCTTCCAAATGGTATAACACTATCTATTTACACACAGAGAATAATGAACAATGGCCGTTGCTTCACTATATTAAACCAAACTAACCCTAAAAGCGAAAAAGAAAAAAGAAAAACACACAAAAGACCCTATCTTCTACACCAGAGCTTTTGAAGGATTCATTTTACCCTTAAAAACAACCAAGGATCTTCTTCGGAGTAGCTCCGGTGGTACGGTACTTGGCGGCTGTCTCCTCCGCCTTGAGAAGTTCTTCCCCACGCTTGGCTTCAACGATTGCCTTCTTCTCTTCTGCTTCCTTGTGGATCAAGGCAACTTTGTTTTTCATTTTCTCCACATATTCGGCTCTCCGTTTCTCTATTTTCTCCTGCATAAAGTATTAAAGTTTATCATACATCTTATATGCTTCGAATTACATTTCGAGTTCATTTCTTTATGAAACCAATACCTCTATCCTTTTCAGCTCTGATTCAAGAGCACCTTTCTTGCTTTTCTCCCATGCGTCGATTGAAGAAAGCTTTTTGTAAGCTCTGTTCAACAGTTTGAATAAACTCAAAAGTTCAGTAACAAAACTAAAAGCAGTTTAAAAAGTATAAGAAGAAGAAAAACCCAGGTGAAGAAAGTTGATACTTGTTCTCAGCTTTGGTTTTTTCACTCTCTTCCCAAGCTTTGATCAGTGAAATTCGCTTCTCTGTCTCAACCCTAGCGAGCACAGCATCTGGGGAAGTTTTCCATTAATCAAATTATTTAAGACTCTTGAGAAACGTAAGATATTGAGAAATTACCTCGATTCACACTACTCTCCGTGCTTTTCTCCTCAGTTGGTTCCGCCGCCTCTGCTAAAAAACCAAAATTTAAATTAAGAGGAAAACGACGACGACATTAATAAATAAACTAAACAAGGGGAGAAAAACAAAAGGTACATACTCTCGAGTGCGGCGGATTCTGTGTAATCAGCAGGCTTTTCTATTTCTTCAGTGGGAGGAAGTGCGATTAAGGATTTTTCCTCGGCAACGTCTTTGGGTGCTTCAGTCGGTTCGGGATCCGGCAGACGCGGCGGCTGCTCCGAGGGGGTGACGTTATCGACCTTCTTGGGTTCTTCTTCCTCTGCCATGTGTTATTGTTTTTGGTAACAAGAAGAGAAAACAGAGAGACGAGGAGGTTTTAAAGATTAAGCAAAAGGATGATATAATGAAGAGATGATCTGGAGTGGTAGGTACAAGTGGTTTATGTGCGTTGGCTGAGAGCGACATGGCCTAGCTTTGAGTGTTAAACCCAAATTGCTTCACTAAATTATCAACAATAAACAACTCATTTCAAAAATGGTTCCTCTGGTTTTCTCTCTTCATTTCACTCAATGATGGAAAGTTTGCTTCTTCTCCTTCCTTTTTACATAAAAGTTATATTTTTATCCTTATTTTTTATATTTTCCCCGGATATTATACTTTTGTTTAAATAAACATATATATTAAATTTATTGAGTGAATTTAATAATAAAATAAATATTATTTTTTAAAGTATTTAGATTTAAATAGTTGTATATGTGAAGTGTGTATACACTATCAATTATTTTTACGCAATAATCCAATAAAACAAGGATGAGAAATAAATTTGGATTAGGGTTATTGAAGGGTTAGGTAACACACCTTAGTTTTGCATTAAAGCAACTTACCAATATATTTGCATTGAGAAGGAAAATAACAAAGTCTTCTTGATTTAATCCTGATCTATAATTTATACCATATTTATGCCTTAATTATTGTTTATGATTTTTAGTTATTATTTACGATTTCTATTAATAAAAGTATCTTTTGTTCTTAAGCAAAATTAATTAATAATTTATGTTGAAGACCTGATCCAATGAGATCAAGTATTAAAAGGTTTTTTTATTAGTACGAAGTGATTATAAGATACTATATATTTAAAAAATTTAAATTATTTGACAATAAATACCAATATTATTAAAATCAGACCGGATCGGCTGGTCTGGTTTGACCGGTTGAACCGTGAACCGGTGGCCTGTCCGGTTCGGTTAACTCCCAAAACCGGATGAGAACAGAATCGGTAAAGAACCGGCTGAAAATCGGTAAAAACGGGGTGAACCGACTAAAAACTGTCAAAACTGGTTTGAACCGCCAGTTCACTTTTTTCTTTAAAAAAAAATTAAACCAAACGACGTCGTTTGTTCAACGAGCCGAGTCAAATTCGAGTATTGCTGAGCTCGACTCGAACTCGAAAACTTTAAAAGTAAGCTCAACTCGACTCAAAAACTCACGAGCTAAAAATTATTAAGTTCAACTTGAACTCGAAATATAATATTAAAACTTGAAATCGAAAAGGCTCGAACTAAAAAAAAAATTTAGAAGTTCGATTGAAGCCTAAAATTTGAGCTCAATTGAAGCGAAAGAATAGTTCGCTTTGTGCTCACCAAAAGGCTCCATGATTTTGAATGTCAAATTACATTTATTATTTATAGAAGTAAGTTGGGATGCTCTTCTATGTTTCTTAGCCATGTGAGATTGTTTTGTTCTCATATTTTTACTCTTTAAACTTTTGGGGTGCTCTTCTATGTTTCTTAGCCATGTGAGATTGTTTTTTTAAAACAATTAAACCAAATGACATTATTTATTATGATTTTTTAAGCCCCAATTTTATTTTTTTAATTATAGTTATATAATTATATTTATTATTTAATATGTTTTACCTTAAATATTATGTTGTAGTTGATTTGAATCATTTTGTTTAACTTGATTTTATGGTTTTTAATTCATATATGTTATGACTTGTGATATTTTTATACCTTTTAATATTGTAAACTTAAAAAAAGTGTTACATATATATTAATGTTGTTTTGAATATTATGTAAAATTAAAAAAAATATTATTTTATATAAAATCTGGTTCAACCGCGGTTGAACCCGATTGAACCAGTGAACCAGTACCTTCACCGGTTCACTGTCCGGTTCGATTTTAAAAACATTGATAAATACTCAAACACTCTTATATAAATTATGCTTGAATCCAAAATCTCTAAAAACAATAATAGTACCTTAATCACTTTAGATCATTTAGGTCATACCCAAATATAATAGTTTGATAAACGTGGGGATAGGGTTTAGATTTGATATCATCGGATTCTTTCATTGATTCTTTTTTACGATTTCGTGGTTGGCACGGAATCTTGGTGGGCCTAAACTTTGGCACATAAACTAGCCAATCTTCTCTAGGTAAATAAAACTTGGGTAAACTATTTTAATAGTCCCCTATGTTTCTGGTCTAATCGATTTTGGTCATTAATTTAAAAGTTAAGGGGAAATGATCCCTAACGTTATCGATTCGTTCGATTTTAGTTTCTAACATTATTGATCCATTCGATTTTAGTCCCTTAGCCATTGACTCCCATTCGATTTTAGTCCCTCAACCGTTGACTCCCATTCGATTTTAGTCCTTTAGCCATGTTAGGGACTTAAACAAAAAGGGGTTAACAAAAATTAATAGTAGAGGGTCTTAAACCGGACAGATTGATAATGTGAGTGACTATTTACTCTTAATTTTTAAATTGGTGACCAAAGTCGATCATACCCTAATCAAAAGGGACTATTCACATAGATTACACATAAAACTTTTGGATATTTAATTTATTATTTATATGATATCTATTTTTTATAATTAGATATTTACATTTTATGGTATAATTAGGTTTTTAATACTTATATATATAATTATTTACCTAATTTTAAAAATACAGGTGTTTATACTTCAAATTTTAGCTGAAGTAATAAATTTTTTAAGATAAATATAACAATTGAATATATAATATAAAGTATCCTTTTTACTATCGATCTCCTTGCTGGAGATAAATCCTTAGTGTTTTTTGTTTTCACTTTCAATTAAAAATATATATATAAGTGCTTGATTTACCAAAAAAACATATGTAATATATTAAACATAAATGTCAAAATTATGTACCAAAACTTATATTTACCCATTTTTAGTGCACGCTAGTCCAACATGTTGGAGAAGTGAACACCTCAATCCCTTACCAAATAGCAAATCTGCGTAAACTACATGCCCCTCAAAGGAGAATAAATACTGCTAAAAAAAGGGTAAACTGCACTGATAGCTGCTACACTTCTAGGATCTTTGCATTTTGGTCAACATAATAGAGGTATATTTTAGTTTTTGAAGAAATTTGTCCACATGAAATTTTCATTTCTATCATAGTGGATACATAAGCTAGATTGCTTTTGTCCACGTGAAAGCTGATAAGAGCATATGGCGTTGGCCCAAATTGGAAACTTTTATTTTATCTATTTATTTAATAATAATATATCAAAATTAACTCTTTATTTAATAATTAATTAAACTCAAGCTGACAAACCAGAATATTAACCATAATAAATTGCCACTTAATATTATTGATTACATTTTGATGTCCAGAAATTGAAACACATAATCAAATCAAATACAACACCAAATCATATAGCTGAATAGCTAAACTCATCTTCTGGAGGAGCCTTGGAGGAAACTGTAAATATAACCAAGGCTCCATACAATATTGTGACAATAGCAGTGAAGTTTACAAGGAAGGCTTCTGCACCATATTTATCAAGGCCTGAGTTCTCAAGGAACGTAAGCTTCTCCAGGAACCCGAGCGTGGCGTTGGTGACTGCCAAGATGAACACAAACAACCCCACCAGTACGTGCCAAGGAAGCGATTCGCGTCTTAATCCGATCGATCCTCCGGGGTAGAAGAATACAAGAAGGCCATATATCCACTGCAAAAATTACAGTTGAATTGGCATAAAGGGAACTGAATGATGAACAAAATAGTTTATGTAGTACCTGGATGCCATATAGGGAAATGATCCCAATCCCAAGCCAAGAATGCAAGCTGTAGAGATTGGGAATTGAACTCTCGTTGTGATTCTTGAATGCCGTGTAGATTCCAATAATTCCCAGAGTTAGTGCAATTGCATGAAGCACAAGATGTATTACTTTCTTTACTTCCTTCCTCAAAGGCAATGACTTGTAGCTCATAATGGCTGCATTTTTTACATTTTTGCATTAAGCACAATATGTTTTACTTTCTTTACTATATAGGTGAGTTGGATTATATACCTTGACCTCCAATGATAATGAAGCCAATCAACATCAGTACAGGATGGATCTGCAGAAAGGTTAAATGGTAAGTGAACGATGATCCGATGAAGTGCAAACCGATAACCATTCATCTGGTCCCGTCATGATTGATTTTCACGCGGCAAGTGGTAGTATATTAATATATTTCTTAAAGTTGGTGAAAGAAACGGGGTTGGTATGTAGAGAAGAGTAGGCAGATCATTTTCACGAGAAGCACATGGGCAGGTAAAACAAATTGAATATGCAAAACTCTTCCAAGTTGTTTGGTGATGATTAAAGGAGCAGATTCATCTTGCCTATTTCTAAAGGTTTAAACTTAACAACTTTTGAGATGAAAAATGACCATGGGGTTGGCTACATTTTAGTTTACATAAGTTAAAAGGATCAACCTTTACAGGCTGGATTTCACCATTCAAGAAAATTGCAGCAGATAAGGGGCACCTTAGTTCATGATTGAGAGAGAACCAATTTCATAAGATGATACAAACGATAAAAAGGGGAAGATCGATCATGTATGAAACTCAAAGGAATCAAACAACTTGTCTAATCCCATATGCTAAACAGAAAAACCCAGAAAAGTCTACTCCTTTAGTTCAGATTCTAAGAATAATTTGTTAATGGCTAAAAGACTGAAAGATGATTGAACTTCGACTGATATGAAAACTGGGGTTGAATGAATAAGATCAACCAAACAAAACCCAGTAATCCAAGAGACCCAGAAACCAAACAAAATTCTACTGGGATCCGTGACCGAGTTCATAAGAACACATCAAAAGTAAACAATTCTTTCTTTTTATAGAATTCCATGAGAAAAAAGAGAGGAAAGACTTACATTGAAGATGAGGTTTTTGTTGGAAGATTCCCAGGCTAATCCACCTCTGAAGTGTATGCACCAAACCAACACCATAACAGCAGCAACAACGGCAAGCGCGTGAGGAACAAACGCCAAATGCGTTGGTTTGACTTGGATCGCCATGTTCCTTCCCTCTATATGTTCTTCTTCTGCTGTTTTAAAGACGGAATAAAGATTTCGATGAAATCATATTTAAAGACTAAAAATGTAAAGGATAAAGTACATAAATGATCCTTTGATTATAGGGTGATGTTTTTGTTGAGTCTATTAATTATTAAAAATTATAAGATAGACTTTCGAGTATATGATGCTATTTTGTTAAGTCCTCCGACTATTTATATGTTTCAAACTCATCATTTTTTAGTTAAAAATCGACAGTTGTCTGAGCTGAATATTTAACTTGTTGACTAAGATATGATAAAATCTGATCTTAAAATTGTTTGAGTTGTATTTTATATATTGAATCGATGTTTATATTATATTGTCGAGTTAGTATTTGAAAATTTATATTATCGAGTCAACGCTTGAAAGCAACGATAATACCATTAGACATTATTAAAATATGATTTTATCATATCTTAATCAACAAGTTAATAACTCAGATGACTACCAATTTTTTAACGAAAAAGGATAAATTTAGAACATATGAATAGTCGGATAATCATTTTGTAACTTTTAATAGTCGAAAGATTAAATAAAACAGTATTATATAATCAAAAGATCATTTAATAATTTTTAATAATTGATAATTCAACAAAATATCATGTTATAATCATGAGAATATTCGTATACTTATAATCTTGTTCTATTAGCTAGAGAAAGATTCATACTCATGATTAAAGTCTTAAACCTACGTAAAAGTGATCCGACTCCATCATTATACAAGTATAGTTTTGTACGTGAGTTTAATTTGCACATCTACAGTGTATGTATTATTAATAATTAAAAAAATTAAATATATATTATTTTATAATCACTTTATATTATTAAAAAATTCGATTATGTATATTTTATTTAGATTTCTTTTGATTTATATTCAAATATATATTATAATCATCGGTGTGTTTATTTGTGTTTTATAATGATTGATTTTAATCATAATTATATAAATGTATTGATTGTAACTACAATTATATAAATTCGAATGTGTGTTGATCATTGTTCACTTATAATTATACATTGAAAAAAAGTTTTGAATAAAATATAAGACTTGCACGGTTGAATTAATTGTAATTGTCAAAATGTATATTGATTGTCCATAATAGGATTCATGTTATTATAATGTATGTTTATAATAAACTTTTATCAATTCGATCTACTAAAAATATGTTTATCAACCTAATTCAATTTGGATATCCATAACAATGATGGGATGTGTAATTTGGATATCAACATAAGTTTAAAGGTATTAAAAATCTTTTATCTCTACTCAGATACACAAATTTCTCTCTAAACATGGGTTTGTAGAATCGTATTAAGCGATCTTATCTCAGTGATTGAAGTGATGGTTTTGGAGATCACGAATTCGAGCACAATTTCTACATGAATGTTTGAACGTTCATTGTCAAATGATTGAGATTCTTTTAAATAGATATTGCTTATGATCATTCCAAACTAATGAAAAAATAAAACTGATTTTGCTCGAAGAATATCCTTATTTTACAACATTAACACGTTTATCTCAATAAATAAATATGTACAAAACAAGACGTAAAGCTATTTTCTTAGCACTTCAATCCCATTTTCTTCCCAAACTTTTGGCATGGGCAATGAACATGTATCATTTTGACGAAAACTTTGAATTACACTATTTTCATGTTTTAAACTCCCATCTAATATGATTTGAGGTTTGAGCTCTACCATACATACAAATTAAAGTTCTCAATTTTAATTTACTCTGGTTTTAGTCACACTGCATGTTAATTTGTCTATAACTATTTCAATATAAATCCTTATGTATTTCAGTTATCATATCATCCATTTATATATTATAATAATTGAGTATGATTGTAAATACATTAAAGGTGAATATTTAATGCGCGGACTAACTATAATTTTATACACTAACAATAGACTAAATGATAACATATCGTCAAGAATAAATTTAAAAAAATGGGTTTAAAATATCATGTTGAATTATCATCATTTAGTTTTTTTTGTGTGGATAATTCTATTTCATTACCCAAGAAAGCAGGAAATCTTGCTACATAGAACAATAAACTACATAAATAGCAAAATAACAATAACTGGAATCAACTAGGAAAACGAAGCAAAAGCACCCTAGCTCAAAATACCCCAACTTGCGCAGAGGGCAGCGTTCCTCGAATCAGCCCTGCAAATGGACCAATTGCTGAGTCGGATCTGAATGGTGTCACGGATGTCGTTCAACATGTCGCCTACCAACCTGACTCTACCCCCAAATAATCTGCTATTCCTCTCACACCATAAGCCATACACATGACCAGCAAGAGCAAGCTTCAGTAGTTGCACAATAAGAGATTTACCTTTAAGAAGTTGAGTAGCCCAGACCAACTCCCTATCCCATGCACTAACATTGCGTTTAATCCCACATAAAGAAAGAACATTCCCCCATAATTCTTTTGCAAAACCACATCCAAAGAATAAGTGGTTTCAAGTTTCAGACTCAGTGCCACAGAATAAGCAGTTATCATTATCAATATTCAGACCCATTCACAGAAGTATCGTCTGAGTAGGTAGTCTATCTAGGATGGCCATCCACAAAATGGTGTTTTGCTTCGAGAAACGCACTGGAAACCAAACCAACTTATGCCAAGAGACCTTGGGGCCTGGATGCACAAATCCTCCCATATTTTCCTTGTGCTAAGGTTATTAATTGTGCCAGTAAGTAGCTGTGACACCTCAGGCCTCATTTTCAATATTCTTTTGAAGCACCAACTGGCATTTAAAAGAATGATCATCTGCCAGAAATCTGAATCTTTAATCATATACGAGGGAATCCAAGCCACCCAAAGGGAGTCATCATTAGCCAGTAGTTTCTTGATCAAAAGCCCTATACAAGCTTTATTCCAGCCCCCAATGTCAATAATACCCAAACCCCCCCTTAGATTTCAGAAGGTAAACCTGCCTCCAGCTAACTTCGTGCACCACTAGCAGATAGGTTAGCTCATTTCCAGAAGAACCGGGAGCAAAGCTGCGCAATTTTCTTGATTATAGATTGAGGGAGAAATATCTACATGCACCAATAGTTGGTTACACTAAAAAGGACAGAGTGGATAAGTTGCAGCCTACCAGTAAAGCTTAAATGTTTGTTAGCCCACGAGTGCAGGTTAGCCCTAATCTTATCAATCAGACATTGGCAGTCATTCACTTCAATCTTTCTTGTCACCAAAGGAACTCCAAGGTACCTCACTGGGAGAATCCCTAATTTAAAGCCAGTAACCTCTTGGATAACAACCCACTGCTCAGCATTGATTCTAGCAGTAAACATTTTGTTGAAAACATTTTGATGTTTCGATATAACAAATTAAATGATATTGGATTTCAAGATTTTCTAATCATTTTCAAAAATATATATTCGATCAATTTATTCGAATATCAAAATATTACTCCAAGTTTTACAAATGTCTATTTCAAATCCTTACTCAAGTGTAAAAATATGTTTTAATCTTTTAAACAAATTTACAAAGTATTTCGAGCCTTAATCGAGTCAAATATCATTTCTTAATAAATCTCAAACCAAAATGGGCAGATTGCCCAGAGGGAACCAATTCCCCCCAAGGAGGGAACCGATTCCCCCTGAATGGTTTTGGCTCCGAGAAATAACAGATTACTCGGAGGGTACCGATTTCCCCCTTGTATAACGATCGAAGTATTTGAATTTTTACACTACAGGAATCGATTCCCTATGAAGGGGTATCGATTCTCCCCACGCTCCAAGCAATTTTATTAATTGTTTTCACACTTAAACGACTCTATTGACTCCACTAATCATCCCCAACATTCAGAATCAATTGAAGGGAGTATTTAAACAAGCTTAGAAGCCATTGATCAACAACAAGAAACAACAATCAACAAGAATCAAGAGAGAATCAAAGAGAAAGTATCAAACTCATTGTTTGAGCACTTCAAGCCTATTTTTCATTCAATATTCATTTTGCTTTCAAGAAAACTACTTGTACTCAATTATATTCATTCTTGAGTGTTCTTTTTTTTGTTTTAGAATTGTGCAAACAATCTACCTTGTGAGGTTTTCCTTGTAAGTTTGCAAATTTGTGTATTTCTCTTTGAGAGAGAGTGTTATCAAGAATTTGGGGTATAATTCTTGATGGAGTTGTAAGGTTACTCTTTATCTTCAAAAGAAAGACAAATTAGTGAATTTGTGGAAAATTCTTAGTGTGGATAGCTAAGGTAGTGAACGTAGACTTTGGTTGAGAAAGTCGAACCATTCTAAATCGCTGTGCAAATATTTTCAATTTTCTACAAAAGCTTCCACCAAAATTTTTATTGCCAATTCCATTGATCAATTAACTCAACAATTGGTATCAGAGCCTCACTCATTTGAAGGTTTAATCACCTCTTGAGTCAATTCGGGAAAAGTTACATTGATATTCAAGTCATCAATGGTCAGCGCTTCAAACTCCGACTTCATTCTTGATTCAATGCCCGTCAACAAACCTCCTTTCTTCAATGGAGCTAACTATGCTTATTGGAAGAATAAAATGATTTACTTCATTCAAGCAAGTGAGTTGTAAGCATGGAATGTCATAGAAGATGGATACATCAAACCTTCCACTCACCCGAGATTGTGGAGTGAAGGAGAGACAAGAATGTTTCAGCTCAACTCCAAAGCCATCCATATTATTTTTTGTGCTCTTGGATCAGATAAATATGGAAGAGTTTCATCTTTTACAACCACCAAAGAAATATGGGACAAACTACAAGTCAATCATGAAGGCACCGACGAGGTAAAAGAATCTAAAATTAGTCTTCTAATTCATAGCTATGAAAAATTTCAGGATGAAATCAGATGAAGATATCAAAGCTATGACGGATAGATTTTCCATGATTGTCAATGGTCTCAAATCATATGGAGAGATCATTCCAAATGAAAAGCTTGTGAGAAAGTTGGTTTACTCACTTCCAAAATTGTGGCAATCAAAGAAGACGACAATCATCGAGGCTAAGAACTTAAAGTCCTTA